ATTTTGGCCTATATAAAATAAATAAATAAATATAAAATAAATAAATGTATTTATTTGATAGGAATCAGGCGAAAGACGCACAGAGGGGGTGGGGTGGGGGGGCTCTGCTGGACAGGTGAGTCTATCAGATCTCAAGGCTAATTTTACTTCCAAGGCTGTTCCCAAAATGCAATCGGAGCTTACAGTAAGTATTGAGCAGCAAATTTGTGTTTTTCCAAAGTGATGAAGCTTTTGCATCTCATTGTACTAACTTAAATTGCATATCACGGCAGGCATCTCAAAATACATAGTCTTCTGGGGGCTAAGCATATATTAATACATTTTGGTAGAGAGTAATATAGGCCTACTGTCATATAGTTTATGTTATCGGGCATCCTTCTCATTCCCTTGAACAACCGAGATTGATCTTTTGAACTCTTTATAATTTCTATTATCTAGTCCAGTTAAAGTCCAGGGGAGGAAGCCCCATCATAGTAAAGAGGATACTAATGTGATGTGTGTAGTTCTTCATAGCCTCTTCATTTTGCTCTCAAAGTGCACGGAATTGATGGATTTTTAACAGAATGTACAAAAAAATTCTCCTGGGGGGGCATGCCCCCGGACCCCCCTAAAGGGGCTGTGTTCCCCTTGGGGCTAAGCCCCCCTTGTTCTTGAAACCTAGTGACGCCCCTGGTAACAATAACGATCAAATGCATTGTGCTGAAAACTTAAATGCAACTGAACTGTGCCAAAAAACGTACTTGACTACAAATTACTAATATTTAACCGTGCTGTATGCATAATGGCTACACGCTTCATTCTGATAAATTTACACTGTACAGTATTAGATGTTGAATTTGAATGTGAATTGAAATCGGTGATTCTCTCAGTTGACCACTAGAGAGAGCCCAATCACGACCATTGGTACTCGCACCACACTTTGCGAATCACCGATGAGAGTGCTGGAAAGTGCCCCACCAGTTTGACTCAAAAAGCCACGAAATGGGACAGAAGCAAACGGTGTTCACTGCACTGAGGCATACCTGCGATGAGATGCATAGTTCCCAGTGATGTGGCCACTGCCATCACACCCAGGTGTCGGACACCTGAATAGGGGGAGAGAAAAAAAAAAAAAACAGAGTTCAACAAGAAAACGCTTTGCCAGTTTTTAAGAACAGAGCAGACCCAAAGCACTGTGCCTATTGTCGGCGTAACCTCACATGGGAACTACCCAAGCGTGCTTTATGGGGAGTCTCTGTCGTCTCAATACTTACGAAAGCAGCTCCTTCTTACTGTCCTTGGGCTGGAACTTGACCTTGAAATTTGGGGTTGTGACTTCTCCAGGGTACTTCCTGTCCTCCATTAAGTCCTGCATCATGTCACCATCCTCTGGGTCGGATGACACATATGACTGCCCGGCATGATCCATCTGGAAAATGTAGAACACAAATTTAAAAGCACAGTCATTATCTCGGTCATCATTGTTAATGTGGGTGGCCAGAGGTGCATTCCTTTTTTTTTTTTTTTTTTTTTTTAGCAGTTTTCTATTTAAACATTTGGAATATTTAATAAACCCAGGGAAAAGGCATATACTTGGAAAGGAAGCGGACAAATGTTCCTTTTTGTCAAATCGGTCCATCAGATGATTAAAAATCAAATCATGCTGCCAGTTGCACATGAACTGGGAAATGTCATTGCTGAAATTACCACATGACAAAATTTGATAGATACTCGATGATGAATGCTGATCATTTTTGGAAAAGGAATAAATGTTACCAGGTTCTGATTTAAAAAATGATGTGAAGGTCACGTTCATGCGAAGCTCTTCAGAGTCTGACGTGTTTAGGGCAGTGTTTGCAATCACTTCTCTCTTTCAGCACATTTGAGTCTGGTACGCAAAAATGTGCCCGCTTTTTTTTTTTTGCTAGCCATCATTTAGACTGGCCAGATGGATTTGTGAGATTTTAAATTCTGATTTCCTCCATATTCGAAACAACCGTTTCCTTGCACAAGTTTTCTAATTAAAGTGTGCTCACTGTTTCAAGTTGACTAACTTTATTTTTGTGGTAAAAAAAAGGGATTTTTCGCAATGCACAGTATTGTCATTAAAAATCAGGCCCTTTATATTTCTTTTGAAAAAGTTCAAAGCAGTAGGGATTGGCATACGGAAAGGATGGTGCAACGCACCTGACACACCACCTTGGTTACTCAGTGCAATGTTTTAACTGAGCAGTAACTCGTTCTGTGACATAAATGAACAATAGAAAGAGGAAAAGGCTACAGGAAATATACCACTTCTTTTTTTTTTTCCTTCATGTGCCTTATGGGATTTCTTTATGTTGCAACAGCTCCTCTGTGATCAGCAGCACAGGAAATACTGCCTGATTTTTATTCATGTTTTTCTTTTTTTTTGTAACATTAGCAACATACTGACCTCGTCCATTTCCTCCTCCCTTTGGCGGTTGGGTTTGGTAAAATCCAGAGGCCCCTCCCACTCCTCCTGCTTGTAGCTCTGTAGGTTTGGTGATGTCATCCCACTGCTTCCCCCGTGATGCAGAGACGAAGACGAGGAAGAGGAAGGGTCTGGGGAACGGACCCCCGGGCTGGTGCCAGACAGACTGCCTTCATGTTTGATGGGCTTCTTCATACTCAGGTCCAGAGTACCATTCTCATCCACCTCGATATCCATTTCCTGTTGAAACACACACGACTTGTATTCTTACGCAACAAAAAACAAAGATTCTAAACCCTCACATAATTGATTAGATAAAGTCTTATGATAGGCTCATACGAAGTGCCTTTTACTTTGTAAGGCTGCTCTAATTATTTAAATAAGTCAGTGACACCGAGAGCGGGTCTTTCTCTGTTCTGTGACCAGTTCTGTAAGTGAACAGATACAGAGACACACTGTGTTGTTTTCTTTGATTTCTTCTAAAAATGGCAGCAGGCATGATTACAGGCCAAAAAGAATACATAATAAAAGGGATAGAGAAGAGGAAATGGGAACTGTTCCCAGAAATGTCCCATGGTGACGTGCTCACTGCTCCATTATTGATTTTTTTAACTGGCTCAATGTCAGATTCCGCGTCAGTCCTTGTTGATGTGAGCCATTGTACTACATACACAGATAGGTCCCATGACAGAGACAAATACAGTTGGGACTACTGTATCATCAAACATTCACCATCCTACATTAATATGGCAAAGACATCCTCCTAAAACCAAGACAGGAAATGGAAAACGATGAAGCGATCACATTTTACAGGCGTGAAGAAAAACTACTTAAAGAGTCACAATACAGGCCAAAGGGGCATTCCAATTTCACCACCTGAGTGCGCAGAGAGGGCAAACAGTATAACGGGGTATCGGCCGAGTGGAGATGAAAACACGGGAGCAAACATTGACTCCGGCACAGACAAGAGGACCGGTGAGAACGGATGAAAAGAAACAGCGAAAAAAGAAAATGAAAGACCGGCCGGCAAGTAGAAGATGGGAGATCTGCGCTCCAGATTGTTCAACAAAAAAGCTACCTGGTGGTGTAAAAGTAATTCATGGACCTGGCTGTGGGCCAAATTCAACAGCAACATGAGAAGTGTGTGGGATGTAAGGATGAAAGAGAAGGGGATAGGTGATGCAAGTGCATCTCAACCACCGCTGTTGCTGTGAGTCAGCGCCCGGTTTGATGATACACAACTGGTGGGACGGCAGAAACGAGAAGCGGCGAAAGGAGACTGTTGTGCCCTGCCGCGTCTCATGCTACAATGCGGTAGTAATTGCTGAGATTTGAGCGGAGATGAAAGGGTTGATCTTTACAATGATGACATACCTTGTAAACAATGTGTTTTTGATCCTCGCCTAAGAAGTAGGTCGTTTCAACAACATTTAGACGGGTAGTGGCATACCTTGTTTTGCAGTTTGGTGCTAAGGTTCTCAGGTTTCTCCCAGCACCGTGTAGACAGGTTAAGGATGGCGGTGGCAGCCATGTGGGCAGCTTCGGCATCATGGGAGTAGTCGTAGGCCAGGGAGGAGGCTTTGCCGTAACCGTGCAGGCTAAGGCTGGGCGATGATGATTTGGGGAATGAGGACTTACCTGCAAAGAAAAGGGTGTGCATCAAGAAGATTCAAGGATCTCAACATGTCGTCAACAGGGTGTGTGCCATTTGAGTGAAAAAAAATAACCTAACAGTGTTAAACATGTTCAAACACAGCATTTGTAGTCGGCCAAGTGTTGCGTGTACATCCTCTCTCACTTTTGAAGGCTTTGGGTGAGGTTTCGCTGGTGGGCATCTTTGGTGCAAGCATACGCTTCCCGAACACTTGAGCATCAAAGCTTGCATAATCGAAGGACACCTTGGAGTACTTCTCTAGCTCCTTGGCCAGGTTGGCGCGGGGTGTGGTCGGCGCCATGTTGGGCCTGTAGCTACCGTACTGGGGCATCTCCAGTTGCTTTACGAAGCACATGGGCCTACGAGGATGACAAGGAGCACGTGTCAGGGTAAAACACAAACAAGAGAGGCAGAAATGGAGTCAAGGATCACACAATCAGCAAGCACAAAAAAAAAAAAAAAATACAAATGAGAGAATAAGAGAGGGAGGTGCTGCGTGACAGTGAGAGTGGGAAGACACAGGCAACAGCGTACTTAGCGGGAGTCTGCTGGATTAAAAGCTCTCTTATCAGCAGAGGGCACATTTGCATGCTGTACAGCATAGAATTTATGAGCTTTAAGCCCTCTCGTTTTCCTAAAGAGCCAGAGCTTTTGTCAGACCTGTTGGCGTAAATCCACTGATAGAACCAAACGAGGCAGAAGGGTGAGGGGAGACGGCAAAAGAAAAGAGGAGGAGGCTGAGGAAAAACAGAAGGGGGAGTGGTAAAACAAGAGAGGGAGGCAGTGTAGGGGTGGGGTCACCTTCCTCATCTTTTGCTTTCTTTTCCTCCATCCCCCTCCTGAGCTCTCCCGCCCCCCTTTGGTCCAGCCCCCTGTCCGTCCTCCTCTCCATCCAATATCACATATAGTCCACAGTCTACCATCACATGCTAATTCCTAATAAGCCAGACGCAGGAAGTAGCCTGAAGTCACGATGCTGTCAAAAAGGTCCTCATACAGAATGCAAATAAAGAGGGGGCCTAACAAGACCATTTTTACGAGAGCCTTTATCACAAGGGATTTGATCTTTTTTTTTTTTTTTTAAATACATTAACTAGAGTTCCATAAGAACGTGGCTTGAATGTTGAACACTTCAGTACCATGCAACGCACACGTCTCAGCTGTCTTCTCACCAAGGGAAGACTCGACTTGAATGTGACCCCCAACAATGCCCCAATAGTTTGAATAATTAGCATCTTCCCCGCATTATTAATTAAAATACCAATGAGGAAGAACGTGGACTTAGCATAATACAGATGTCGTATTTACGCTAATCATCATTCTTTTGGCCATAATGAGGGTGCCCGGCCAGCTGGGAAGATTAACGGTGAGAAAGAGACATCCGTGTTAACACGGTGGCACTAATGATTAGACCACCCGAGTGGATGCTTAAAGAGTTCCTTGAATTCAACTATCCACAAGCCAGGTCCTCCGCTCACAAGGATCCGAGCAACTGATGTCATGATTGTCACAAAATAAACATTTCTGCCTTTACAAAGACAGCAACGCACGGTTTTAATTAACACCGTCAGTGATGTATTTTTCACAATGTGTTTGTCATTCTGTTTGCAGTCTAACAGAGAAGAGAGAGGCAACGTATTAGAAACAATTGGTATGATGCAGTGTTCTAAACCGATAATTAAAAGCACAGAATTTAAGGTTGTAACCATTTTGATAAAGCTCTGGTATAGAATGTCATTACGTACTGACAATCCGGGTAGCCACTGATTTACATATGAACCCGTGATTGCATAAAATTAATGGCACCTCGAGCAAAAATATGCCTATAAAAATGCATGACTACTTTGTACTTAAGATTTAAATAATGAATCAAAATATGCAACGGTCAAGATACCGGCACATTCATAGTTAGTTTTACACACAATGAATCAATTCATGTGTTCAGGTGGACGATGTGACGTGATATCTTTGGCCACACACCTGAGCACTCTGTCATTGGGACTTCCTTTGAGGAGGTCGCTGCCAGGCTGAGAAAGCTGCTTGTCTTGGCTCTTGGACAGCTTCTCCGCCGCTGCAATGGGACATCCCGAAAGACTTGAGAGGTTGGAGGAGGAGAAAGATTCATATTTAGCGAGAGAATGCTGACCATGTAACTCCACACTGATGTGGACTGACACAACTGCTGTCCTGCAGACATAAATATGTGAGCTTGCAAATAACAAAAAAGGTGGAAAACTCTGCCTACGTCTAACAAAAACAGATGTAAGCACATATCCGAGGCTGTCATGTATGCATACCTGCGGTGTGTGTTACGGTTGCTGTTAACATGGCCCTGACCGGTGCAGCCGGGAGTTGGACACTTCAGCACATTCTCATGCATGGCCAGAACTGAAAGAGACGTAAGCATAGATGCAGAATGACACATCAAAATGTAGCATTTCTATTGCATGGCATCCAATCATTATTTCTCGTTTGTGTTATGACACCGATGCAAGGAAAATGGTGACTCAGGGCCTCTTCTTCCTCAAGTTGTTCCCCAAACACCTCGTAATGAGCATTAAAGCAAACTACAGGATTGGAGTGGTTTTTTTTCCCTCACTTTAAACAATAAAACACGTGTCCACTACAATAATATTCAAAAGATTTTACTAGGACAGAGGAATCTGCCACTATCTTAAATAGTATTGCTATATCATAACAGCTGAAAAGAGGAGAAAACAAAAAAAGAATAAATCTCCTTTAAAACACAATTTAAGGACTGGCCACAGCCACGTGAACAGTTGTCAGCAGACTTGAGGAGTAACAGAATATATGCACCGGCCTGATGTAATTAGGTTAGAAAAAGAGTAACTGTAATCCATTAGTTCCAGAAAAAAACATGCATTCAGATGAAGTGGTTGTTACATGGTCACAATATATTGTACAGCTTAATGGGCCGCCAATGTTCGTCCTCAGTAAAGTTTTCATTGGCCATTCCGGCAAATGCCACAGGCCACTGGATTTTAAAGTAACCCTCGTAACACAGGTTGTCAGAGTGACTATGGATCAATCCCAACAGCCTGCCCAGTTGTGTGTGCTGCCAGTATGTGGATGGTCTACGAATGTGAGACTTGGGAGACCAACGCTGGGAATACAATTCGGTGCCATCATGAAGAGGTTTCAATTGCACTCTTTCTATGTTTGATTTCGTCTCGAAGGAAACTCACTCTCAGGGGGGATCCTGTCCTTGTGAGGGCAGCCGGACAGGCTGCGGTGGTGAGGGTAAAGTCCGGTCACGTGACCTGTGCCATCACACCCCGGGGTGGGGCACTTGATCTCCCTCTTCTCTGGTCGAATACTCTCTAAATTGACAGACGATGCAGAGGTTGGATGAGGAAGAAAGGGAGGCGCAACAAAAAGGAGGATGACATGAAAAAGGAGGACAAAAGCAAGCGGTAATGCCATCAGACAGTCTGCTTGGCTGAGCATGAAATCTCGACATACACTACTGCATTTTGTGATTTAACTGTGCAAAGGCACCATCTGTATCTGTTCTTTTTCTTGTTGTGTGCGTCTGTTCACAGGCGAATATGACAGTTTATTGCCTTTAATATGAGGGTCATTCAATAAATAAGGTGAATTTTTTTGGTTTCAGGACTTCTAATACAGATAGAAGCTTACTTTTTTTCTTCAATGTCGTCTCGCAGCAAAAGTTGTTTTTTTTACCCACTTTTCCCATCTGTGCACAAGCTCCCATATTCCCTCATTGTAAAAATCTTTGGACTGATGTCTCAGCCAGTCGTTCACAACACTTTTGACTTCATCGTCACTTTCAAACTTTGTGCCTCTCGTGAACGCTTTTAAGGGACCGAAGAGGTGAAAGTCTGAAGGGGCAAGGTCTGGGCTGTAAAGGGAATGAGGGAGCAGTTCCCAGCCCAGATCGTTGATAGTCTGCACCGTTTGGGCTGCTGTGTGAGGCCTTGCGTTGTCATGATGTAAGATGACCCATGACCCCTGCGTTTGTTCTTTGGGTCTTTCTTGACCTGCCTCAGCCGTTCACAGTAGTTGGCATGAAGTTTGAAAGTGAAAAACCCTCGTACCTTTGTGGCACTGTCTACGTCAAATAATTAAAACATTACGTAACATATCTAGATCAAAGTTGACCGCCCGGTTTAAACATTTCCACACACTACGGGCTGGATCCAAGACGTATTTTATTCAAAGATATTATACTAATAACTGTCAGCGGCATTAATCTTGAGCAATATAGTTTGCCGTGGTGCACTATTGCACAGCATCGTACCGCATAACATTTCCCCACTCTCATAAATACGACAAACACGAGGAAAAATGCACAACTGCATAAAAATACTGTACATCTCAAGACGGTCAACCAGAAGTGTGCTTGATTACATTTTACGATTCACCTCTCGTTTTGGATCCCATTACGCCGTTCAGGCCTACCTCACAAAGTGTCTGTTGAGAGTATGTCAGGCTCTCAACAACATGCCGTACACAATTAAAAACTCATTTAACTTTCTTGCTACTGGAAGTAAGCAACGTGGCGCCATTGACATCGGAGGAACGAAAGAGCGGAAAAAAGTGGTGCGAAGCTCTGTTGGCCTTCAAATTGAATGTTAATGAGACATGCATCCCCTAATTAAGGTTGAGCAGTACAAGAACGTCACCGCGGGAGGGAGTGGAGGCCAAGGAGAGGGCAACACTCGCAGGCATGTAATAACACTGCTGCTGATAGTGCGAGGAGCATGACGAGAGGGCAGTGTGCCAACTGAAAAATGAAAGCCTCCATCACCCGTCGACAAAGCAACCTGCGCTTGGGCCTTTCCTTGAGTTTTCTTACTTGCTCACATGCCACCGCCTCTCTTAACCCTGCTCTTGTCTTCTTCTCTTATCATCGTAGAGCAAGGTTGTCGGGCTGAAACGGGCTTTGGGCTTCATGACCGCGCCTCAAGTTCAGCTGGCACTGTGCTACTGCTGTTCTTCAGCATTTTGCTGAATAGAATATTGGTGACGTCACAGCCGAGCCTGGTGGTCTGGTCTCACAAATTATGTGATCATACGTGCTTGTAAAGTTGTACACTAAAATGCGCAACTTTTCAGTACCAAAAATCAAATGCGAAATCTCAGATGGTACAAGCGGTACCTTGACTTACAGGTTTTTAGTCATTCTGTGACGTTCCCCATTGAAATCAATTAAATTAAATTGTAAAGTGGAATTCTCTGGACTGGAGACCACTAGTGGTAGAAGAGAAAAGGTGAGACATTGTCCTTCACACAGTGACATGTCATCCAACTTTTCAGCTGCCACGCACAAACCATTTAAAGGCAATGATCAGGGGTGGGGTGGGGGGGGGGTCTCCAAGTGCCCACTTCATGGGACAGATGTGCTTGCAACATGTCTCTACCATTGGGCAATTCCAGTACCGGCGGGCGTCATACAACTGTGTAGTACTTTGTCTTACTAGATTCACCAACTGATATGCTTTAGGTTGTCTATTTACACTTATTTGTACGAGTTTTGAAAAATGTATTCAGGTTCTACAGTATTTATTTTAATGGTAAGCCAATGATCACAATCATATGGAGTACAAAGGACTAACAAGTTTCAAGTCTAAAGAAGTCCCTGCTTGTTTTGTGCACTCCATCCTACCTTTGAAGTAGCTCTGTCTAATGACCTCAAGGTGCTTGGGGCGGTCTTCCATGGTGAAGTATCTGCGGTGCTGTAAATCGGGCACGCCCAGCAGCTCTCTGGGCCCAGCTGGCTTAGTGTTGGGGGGGGGGTGGGGGGGTGGTCTCCAAGTGCCCACTTCATGGGACAGATGTGCTTGCAACATGTCTCTACCATTGGGCAATTCCAGTACCGGCGGGCGTCATACAACTGTGTAGTACTTTGTCTTACTAGATTCACCAACTGATATGCTTTAGGTTGTCTATTTACACTTATTTGTACGAGTTTTGAAAAATGTATTCAGGTTCTACAGTATTTATTTTAATGGTAAGCCAATGATCACAATCATATGGAGTACAAAGGACTAACAAGTTTCAAGTCTAAAGAAGTCCCTGCTTGTTTTGTGCACTCCATCCTACCTTTGAAGTAGCTCTTTCTGATGACCTCAAGGTGCTTGGGCCGGTCTTCCATGGTGAAGTATCTGCGGTGCTGTAAATCGGGCACGCCCAGCAGCTCTCTGGGCCCAGCTGGCTTCACCTGCTCTGCTTTGAGGGCAATGGCTTGCTCGAGGAGGCCCAGGTTCCCTCGGGTCATGTCAAACATCTCAGACTCATCGGTGACGGTGGAGCGCTGGGAGAGGCTGTCATCGTCATCGTGTTCATCGTCACCATCCACGTCATCAAAGTCTTTCTCATCTGACTTGTCAGAATGCACCTCGATAATGTCGGACGAGGCAGAGGGCGAGACTTTGTGGATTTTAAAGTTATCGCCTCTGAGATTAGGTGAGTAGTTCTCGAGTGGGCTAGCCATGTGGGACAGGTAGTTTAAAGGAAGGCAGGTCTTATATTTATTCAGCGGTTTGTGGGAGTCATAGTGGTCAAGTGGACTGGTTCGCGTAACACTGTAGTTCTCATGTGCGTTGTAGTCCTCCAGAGGACTAACCCTGTGGTCTTCAGTCTTGATATGTGGTCCCTGAGCTGCTGTGGTGCTGGTGATAGTGCGGACAGCAGTTGGCACATTAGGGTGCACCTCCTCATCATTTTCATCCTCTAAGAGTGTGTTCTTTCTCTCTTGTGCCAGCTCTGCTGTCTCTTCCTCTTCATCTGCCGTGGGTTGCTGGTGGACCTCCTTGTCGAGAGTTGCACGCTCGCCTCTGTCATCCACCAACTGCTCCTCTGCTCCTTCAGTCTCCTCTTGCCCATTTCGACCTCTGCCTGCGACGCCTTCCACTGCATCAGCCGTTTCCCGATCTTGCTCCTCCTCTACTTTTTCACCGTGTTCAACTGCCACTGTGACATTCTCTTCAGTCTCCATGGCAACCAGCTGTGGGGCGGCCTCTGTTGGAGCATCGCTGTCGTTACCCGTAGCAGGGACTCGGCCGAGGTGGAGGAGAGAGTTGGCCACTTCTTCAGCATTGCGAGAAGGAGACTGATACTCCGGTGTCATAGGAGGTACAAGAATGTCATACTCTGTGAAAACAAAGACACTTGTATGTGCCACATAAACTTTAATTTAAGACTAACGGCAATTCATGCAGCAAAGGCAAAATTATTAGTGAATGGAAGCTTTTTCCAACAACTAAAGGAGGAAAAGAACCTGCAATGATGACACTGTGATGCCAGCGACATTTTATAAGCTTTTTGGCATATACTGATGGTGCAAGAATAAACTAACCTAACTCTGCTGCTTCTTCCCTGTCCTCTTCCTCTGTTTGTTGACCCAGTGTCTTCCCAACCTGTCCATTGGTCTGTCCATGTTTGAGGTCTTTACCAATCTTCTCTTCCTCTGCGGCAGCCTCCATCTCGTCCGCATGCTCCTTGCTCTTGCTTCTGTTCTCGCCATCCCTCTCGCCATCTCCCTCAGCTTCACTGCTGGCATCACTTTCTGCGCTGAAGCCGTCATCAAGGGTCAGTTTCAGGGGGTGGGACTTCCTCTTGGATGCTGGCCGCTCCGTTTCCGGTTCCTGCTCGGCCTCCGCCTCCTCAGCTCGCCGCTTTCTGGCTATGGGGCATCCCAGAATGCTGATTGAGAGGAAAACGAGAGCACATTTGTTTATGATTGAAGACGTGCTGGAGAATGAACGTGAGTGGTGCCTGAGGAGAGCGCCATGCTCACTCACGACCAAATATGGCAACCAATCTCAGCCAACTGACTGAAACGTTTAATGAACAACATGTATGGGGAGTGCAGCGGGGGAGGCAACGGAGGGTGAAATCCAATAAACTCCCCCTTATTCTCACCTGGGAGACGGCGAGTAAGATTGAAGGAGGATCTATAAACAAAGTGCATTTGAAATTGCCTGCTGAATGACTACACATGTAAACAGATAGCTAATGTCTGTGACACAATAAAGAGGAGTCACAAGCCAGTGAGCTGCCTGCTCTCTGCAGCTCTCGTGAGAGTGAGCGTCACACATGAGGAGGATCGCAGCTGGATGGAACCTGAAGAAATCACTTTCACACCTGCTCGAGAGTTTGTGCCCCTTTTCAGTCTGATTTATTGTACGTAAGCTCCTTCGGCAGCTATAACTACTACTCAAATAACACTTGTCAGCAAACGTTGCAAAATTTTTCAAATGGAGATTCAAGTAAACTTTCGAAATGAATTTTTTGCACAGATTCTGGAACTGGTCTTGTTTTTTCTCGAGCACATCAAATTTTCATGACCGTAATAATAATTTGAATAGTAAAATAATAATTTGCAATGATCATTTGTAATACAATGACATATTTCATAATAGTGATGGTTTAAGTGTTAGGCTCAGTTACAGGTGGAATTTTTTTTCCTGAAACATCATAAGCTATAAATTAAAATGCATGGTAAAATCCGTAATGAATCAGCTTTTCTAGGTCAAACATAAAAAGCGAAAAGGAAAATACTGTACCATAAAAGCTTAATGTGCTCGAAAAAAAAACATGCTAAATACAAAAAAAGAAACAACAACCCTGGGGTACATTAGTGTAATGTAAAATGTACCTTGAGGGACAGAAATCAACTCATATTTCCCCTTACTTCTGAGAGTGCATGATTACTGGTATCTGTCATAGCCCATGTAATACTGTAAGTGTAACCGTGATGTCATCGAAGGAAAAAAAAAAATCCCAAGGAAGCAAGATGGGATGGATCAGCAATGACGAGGACAGACAAACAGACAAAGAAGGACAGACAGAGTTTGTTTAATCTGCCCTACCTTCTGTGTCGTGAGTATCTCCCACTGATATGGCCAGAGCCATTGCATCCAGGGGTGGGGCAGCTGGATGGGATGGATGGAGGGTAAATATGTTTAAGACATGGTGCATTGCACTTACCAAGCCAAATTATGATAATGATAGCAACTGGAAGCAAATTCCCCTATAGAAAAAAAAAAAAAAAAAAAAAGGCATGCAAAGCAAGCACACACATCACAGGGATGCACATGCACAAAGGCACACTTGGACGCTGATATGTATCCACATGATGCATGAATGCAGGTGGCATCAAGCCGGGAGAACATAATATTGTGTGTCGTACATCAAGCCTGGCCTATATCCTGTTACCATGAGCGATAATGATCACCCAAGACCTGCTGTAATTTCCCCTGCTCTGCGCTCCTCACCATCGCCATCATCAACCCCCCCCGCCACCCCCCG